TCTTCTGCGGCAGCTGACAACGCGAGGGCGAGGGGTTAGAACAACTCGGCCAAAGCGATCTGAACTTTCTCCCCTCGGGTCAGCCGGCGCTGGGCCGCCGCGGTGGGCGCGGGGCTGTGTTTACAGACACTTGCCTTTGTTTATAGCACTGGGGGGGGGCGGAGGGAGGCGCGCCCTGATTTTCTATTACTCTCGGGATCCCTGTCCGTTTGACCGAGTGCCTCCCTCCCTCTCCTGCTTCCTGCCGCCTTTCGCGTCTTTACTTTAATCCCTTCAAGAGAAAGACACCAACCAGAGCCGAGGGGTCAGTGGGAAACGTCTACCAATGTAGTGGAGAGGCGGTGAGGTTTTCCAAACAGGAGCCAGAGAGGAGTTCTCTTCACCAGGCACGCGTGCCTGCGCTTGGGTAGTTGGTCTACTTCGCCATCTGGGCCTTAACGCATTTCTGCCGGTTTAACACTTCTCCTGGTTTATTAAACACCAGCAGAGGAGAACCAGAAGACCCTGGCAGCACCAGCGCTCCGGGGGCAGCTCCCTGCTACAGAAGCTTGTAAACCCGCTCTCCAGAAACCGGTCTTTGTCTGGCCTGGGCCCGGCGCTGCCCGCCTCCTCTCTCCTGCCTGCCGCGCGCTTCCTCGGGCCCAGCAGCACCAGACCCCACACCTCCACCACCTGGACATTCCTACCCTCCAGGAACCCGAAAGCCAGACATCCAGCAGAACCGACATCCCCATGCCGGGGACCCAAAACCCCTAACCGGATGCACACCCTAACTGGCCGGACACTCCCGCAGGCAAGACACTCAGCTTACGCGTCACTCCAACCTCCCAACATCCCTGCCCCACGTTGTCAACCCCAGCAAAGTGACGGGTGTGCCGGGCCAACGTTTCCTGAGCGCTTCCATGCTTTTCTCCTCAACACATTTCTATCTCTTTTAACTCCTTTTCTTTTTTCCTTCAAAAAAAAAAAAGTTTCCAAGCTCCTGCCTTGTGAAACGGCTAAAAGGTCTCTGTTTTAATTGCTCGGATAATGTGGTTGCTGCCATTTTGTTAAAAGCAATCACTCCTGCAGTGAAATCACAAGCTCTCTAGACAGGCCGGAGCCGACAAAAATGCAGGATTTGACGTTAAAAGCTAAATGGGAAGCTGGGGCGGCGGAAGGTAAATTGATGGTAGATCTGGCTGTCAGGGTTCGGCCCCAGACTGCCACGCAGTCCCAGCGCCTGATAACCCTGGAGCACCAGCAGGGCTCTGGCCTCGCTGCTGTGTGTGTGTGTGTGTGTGTGTGTGTGTGTGTGTGTGCGCGCGCGTGTGTGTTCCTTCCTACAAACCCATTCTCAACTTCTTGAGAAGTAATTTGGAAAACATAACAGAGTGGGACCTAAACACACTCCTTGCTCCCCATCTCAGTTTTCCAGGACTTTTGCCCTCAGTCAGGACAGTGACGCAGCTTTAAGAGCTTTTTCAGGTCAAGTCATGAAGGTGACAGCTAGATCACCTGGGATTCTTCTTGCCTTCTAAATTGGGGGTGGGGGAGGGAGGGGACGGAGGGTGGGCTTCTCTGGGGACCTAGCAGGAGTTCCAGCCTCCAAGTGGAATAGCCAGTAGGTCTGGCACCTAGGAAGGGTGGGCCTAGGCTGCCTCCTCAGGTGTGGCAGGACCAGGCAGCCTGGTCAACTCTACAGTAAGGTGGGTACAATCGTGGCCCTGGCAGCTTCCCAGGCCCTAGGAAAGCAAATGTGTGAGACTTGGGAGTGGCTCAATCCCTTCCTCTCACCTAGGCCTCTGTGGCTGTCCCTCTGGTGGTGAGGGTCGCAAAGCTGATATCTCACCCAGATGTTAAGGTAGTAGCAGGAGTTGTGTGCACACATATTCTGCAGGAAGGGGTGCTGAGGGTAAGAGTGAGCAAAGCCACAGGGATCAGAGGGGCCTGTGAGCTGCTTCTGAGATTACCTTTGTGGAGAGAACTGAGCCCCTTGTGGGGGATTGAGGGGGGGGGCAGTAAACTGGGCAAAGGATACCACCACAGCACAATAGCCTGGGCTGCGTTTGCACTGCAGGTCTGCACATTGCAGGAAACTTCTCAGTTATTCTTGCGGCTTTAAGGAAATGCTGTGTCTGCTGCACGTGCGGCCGGCGATTTTCTCTTCTCCAGTTGCCAGGCGTCCTCCCTGCCCGCCTGTTCCACCCACCTGCCTGGATTTGGAAAAGGGACTGGTGATGGATCAACCGGAGATGATCTAGAAGGGAGGCTTGTGACTATACCCATAGAAGAATGAACCTGGGCACTGCTTGTCTTTTCTGGATCTTTTGGCCTGGGAACCCATTCCCTCCACGAGGAGACTCAACTCCTGACGTCCGATCGCAGTGCGAGGAGGGGGCGCTGCAGAGTCCTTGGGACGCACAGGACTCCTGGCCTGTCGGAGCCCACGGATCCCCAAGAGAGAAGGACCCTGGAGCCACCCTCAAGGGGACAGGGGGACAAATTATTTTTTTAACTGTGTATAAAGGGGAGGAGGAAAAGAGGGGGCAACTCCAGGAGAGGAAAAGAATCCCATGTTTCCGGGGTCGGACAGCTCTGAACTTGCCACTTGACCATCCAACCGCTGCGCAAGGCGCGCTTCGCTCACAGCAGCTGCCTGCCACGGTCTCGTTGGCCTGTAACAGCCCAGCGGCCACGGCCAGCCGGACTCTCGGAGTCGAAGTGCACTGCGTATCTGCCTGACGCGCGCACAGAAGTTGGACTTCTCTCCCGGGCCTCTCGCTCCACCCCGGCCAAGTCCGTTCCCTCCGAGGGGCACGCCCCCTCCTCTCCCCTACACACG